AAGTTTGAAGCCAGTGTGGGCTACATAGTGAGTTTAAGGCCAGACTGCACTATGAAGTGAGGTGCTCTCTCTCTCAAAAAAAAGACAAAAACAAAAGCAAAAAACAAAAAAGAAAGAACGAAAGGAAATGAACAAAGATTTTTTTTTTTTAAAATGCAAGAGGTGATAAGTATAGATAATAGACAAGGAAGGTGTAATATATATACAAGTCCCTGAAGAAGAAATACAAATCAATGAAGAGTATAAATGTAAAGGCAATAATTCAGTATTGAATTATTCAATAGTTCAATAATTCAATAATTATTATTATGAATTATTATGAATTATTCAATAATTCAATAATTCAATAATTTTTTCTTGGAATAAAAGAGGAGACTTGAACTTACATCTTTTAAAATTTGTTTTTGATACATAAAAGTATGAAATTGTAGTTATTAATGGAGCACCATGTACTGCTTTGATGCATATGTACCTTGTGTAATGTTTAAACCAGGTTAAACATTCCTCTCTCCTCAAACATTTATGCTTTCTGGTGAAACCCGTCTCTTAGACATTTGAAATGTGTAGTACTTATTGTTATCTCTCACCCTCCGATGCACACCAGAGCTCCTTGTTGCCATCTAACCGTGGCTTAGTAACCATGGTAACTTAGTACCCATCCCTTCCTCCCTTCACCTGCCTGGCCTCTTGTAACCATTCTTCTCTCAGCATTCACATGAGTGAGATCCCTGGCCCTTCTGCAGCTGGCATGTCTCATGTCACAGAATGACCGCCAGTCTATGTATGTTGGCATGGACGACAGGCATTCTCCCTTTTCAAGCAACGTAGCACTGTGCGGTGTTTATGGGCCGTGTTTTCTTTATCATCATTCGGTAGGCACTGAGCTTGGTACTGTTCCCTGGTGAGTCGTGCTGCCCCAAACACAGGTGTGCAGGGGTCTCAGAGGCAGCATCTGGACGGAGACACAGTCTAATAAAACAGCCAAGAGAGAAGGAGAACCGCTAGGCATCCAGACATAGAGAAGAAGTACATTTTAAGTGGAAGTGAATTTGACTGGCACCAGGCTTTTCTGCAGCAGCACTTTGCCCCAGAAGATAGCAAAACGGTATAGCAGGTGCTCAGGAAAGGAAAGGGGACCTAGGACTTTGTATCCAGCCACACGACTCTCGAGTATGAAATCCCCAGATCAGCTATTGTACTCATGCGAGAGCCCGGGGGTCATTACATCCCATGGACCTTTCTGGGGGAATTTACTACAGAATGAGGCACAGGCAACCAAATAGGCTGGAAAAGTGTTAATGTGAGAACTGTATTTCTAGGCAGCTGTGAAATTCACAGTGCGTAATGGCTGTGAGGGAGATAATACAGCACGTAATGCTTGTGTGGCACATAGCACAGGTACAGCCAGTATATTAAAAGTCAGGCAAGTAGAGGCTGTGTGTGAGAACCAGCACAGAATCATCCACAGACTTAGAAGTGCTAACGGAAGGCAAAGGGGGAGTTATTCAAAGTAGACGGTTAGGAAAAGGGAAGACAGGGAAACAGAAGCTACCAGCTAGCTCCGGTATCACTCACAGCAGGCGGTGTCTAAAGGGGTTGGATAACCAGGCATGGCGGCCCACGCCTGTAATCCCAGCACTCAGGGAGGCTGACGCAGGAGGATCACAAGTTTAAATCAAATCTGGGCAACATAGTGAGGCCTTGTTTCAACATAAATCAAAAAGGGGCCGGGAAGGTAGCTCAGTGCAAAGGTCCTGTGTTCAATCCCTAGTATCACAGAAGGTTGGGGGGTGGGTTGACTTAGGGTGTTGTATAAAGATTCTGATTTGATGGTGACCATCATAGAAAAGACAGGCTTTTTCCCAGAGAGGTCAGGGAGCAAGAAGGGGTAGGGGAGAGGACACACCCCCTTCTCCAGGCAGCCTTCTTGGGTCGCCAGAAGGCACTCCATCTCTCCCAGACACTGGGCACCTTGTTTGGTGCATGTTTTATTTATTTCACCTGAGAACAGAGGTGCAGTGCTGTGTATAATTGCACGGTGCTTCCTTCAGAGCCTGGCGCAGGTTTCTGCTCATGAGCTCAGTAAACGCTGCTCCATTTAGGACTGATGGATGGGTCAGTATTTTTTTTGTTTGTTTTGTTTGTTTGTTTGTTTGTTTTTCTGGAACCGGGAATCGAACTCACGACCTTGCGCTTTACCAAGCAGGCGCCGTGCCGCTGAGCTAAATCCCCAGCCCGAGTCAGTGTTTATTCCCTCCGGGTTTTCTCAGAGCCGAACGTGGCTATTTATAGAGCCCCCTTCCTGGTCCTTGTCATGGCCCAGGAAGTAAATATTTGTAATCCTACGGAAAGTTCTTGGAATTCTAGTGAGTTAATTCCAGTCTACCACTCCCCGTGCCACCCATGGCGAGAATAAAGTCACTAAGACATGTTTGTAGTTGTGGGGAGCCAAGGGGTCCTAAATCCAGCCACGATGATGGCCACCTGCAACAAAGGCCTCAACCCAGGACCAAACCTGGTTTTATTCATTCACAAAGAAGGGCATGGCTTGAGGATGAGCGACTGTGAGAACCGTGGGAAGTAGGTGAGTGCCGTGAGCTGGGCTAGGGAGGAGGTCTGAACTCGCCCCTGCCATACGCAGGAGGGATCTGCAGAAAGAGTCATCTGCCTAACACAGCTGAGATAATATCTAATGTTTTGGGGCCGGTGCTTCAGCTCTGATGTGTAATCTTTGAAGCCCCATGGAGTCACAGCCTCTATGTCCAGGCTCGATCCCACAGCGTGGAGCACTGGCTCTTCATCCTTCCTTGTCCTGGCTCACACAAGGGAACAGTGGGGGGTCCGGGGAAACACGCCTGCCATCTTCAAAGACTGCCATCAGCACCTTGGCTGGACCGATACGCATTGCTTAAAGCCAATTGGAGGGATAAGGAAAGGGTCCTAGCCAGCTCTGTACATACCCGTATGTGAAGATAGGGTCGGCTTAGCCAACATGGAGACAATTGCTCCTCCTTCAAGGAGAGTCGCCCAGGTGGTGCTGCACGGCTGTTCATCCAAAAGTTTTCAGTTTGACATGGCGGGGTCCCTTGGAAGGAAGGTTCTTAGAGAACTGGTGTCAGATGTGGCTGGGTCCAGGGACTCAGGTCGTGTGAGTAGGATCTGACTCGCTTGGCTCCCAGCTCTGCCTGTGGAGTGGCTTCATTCCCACACAGGCTCTTCCCTTGTGGGTAGTGATGGCCCCCAGAATTTACAGCCTGAACATCTCCAACAGAAAAGAAGGCGTCCCACTGGGCATAGTGGTGCATTCCTGTCATCCTAAAACTCAAGAGGCTGAAGCAGAAGGATCACCATGAGTTCTAGGCCATCCTGAACTACATAGCTACATAGTGAGTTCAAGGCCAGCCTGAACTACATAGCAAGACTGTCTCAAAAGAGAAAACAACAACAAAAAAGAGCGAATGAGGGCTGGGGATTTAGCTCAGCGGCACAGCGCCTGCCTGGCAAGTTCAAGGTCGTGAGTTCAATTCCTGGTACTGGAAAAAAAACAAAAAAAAAAGTGAATGAAAAGGAAAAAGAAAAAGTGTCCTGTTGCCATTGCTCCAGGCAGTGTCGCAGGACTGGGTTACCCTAGCCAGCAACTCTCCTCTGTATACCCCTGGGCGTGTCGCTGTGGCTGGGGAAAGCTTTCGTTGGCCTGGGGTCTTTCCCCGCTCCAAGCACCTCTGCGTGGGGGGATGGAGGAACTGTGACCCAGCAGCGATGGATGGGCGCGGGGCGGGGAAGCCAGCTGCTGTCCCCTGTGCCACGGGGTCTGGTCCTGCCCGGGAGCCAGCTTTCTGCTCTTCCTGCCCACACCCAGGGACAGCGGAGGGAACGCCCCGTTGCAGAGGCATTAACAACGGGGTGGCCACCCCGAGGCCCAGCGCCCTGTTTAGTCCCTGCCACGCTGCTCTGAGTCCCCTTCCTGTGGGCACCACTTGGAGTTTGTGTCTCCGCCCTTAGTGAGTGGAAAGGTGGATTTTCTGGGATAGGAAGTGGGGAAACTGAGGCAGGGCCAGAGGAATTAAAAATACATCGGTTTCTGTCCTGAGTCTTTGAGGCGCTCCTGCAGGGGTTTCTGCTGTAGACTTTCCCTGGGACTCCACGGGCTGAGTTCAGAGAGCACCCCGACAGGTGGCAGGAAGGCTGCTGTGACCTGAGGGCATGTCCTGCTGCCACAGCAGTTTTTGTCCTTGGGAACTTGGTGACTCAGAGAGTAGGTACTGTGTGCTCTGCATGGGAATCGGAGGGATCTGTTTCGGAAGCTGATCAGGATTCGCTGGGCCCTGCAGCCTCTCCTGGTGCTCGGTGCAGCTGGGGTCTTCATCCCAGGGATGGGGCCTGGGCTTGGGCTGAGCCTCCCAGGCCTTAGGGGTGACTCTCCTCCCTCTGGGGGGCCTTTACCCATCACGTGAGTTCCCAGCAGTCCTGGCGGAAGCTCCTTTCCTACTTTGCAGATGATGACCCTGAACCTCAGAGAGGTTAAACGACTTTTCCCAAGTCACACAGCTCCGCTGGGGACCTGAATATCCAGATTCAGGTTGTCCAGGGAGCTGTTTATTATCTAGAGCCTCCAGGAAACCTTGGAATTCACTGAAAACTTTTCTAGTGAATGAAGCATTCCTCAAGCATAGAGTACCTTTAAAAATAGCTCCTTTGCCAGGCGTGGTGGTGCATCCCTCTAATCCCAGCCCTCAGGAGGCTGAAGCAGGAGGATTGCTGAAAAAGACCAGCCTGGGTAACATGGTGAGTTCAAGGCTAGTTTGAACCACATAGCGAAACCCTGTCTCAAACAACAGCAACGACAGTAACAAATAACAAAGTGAGGGAATCCTGAGAAGGTAGGAAGTTTGGTGATCACTTTGTGCTGTTTCTTTGGAGGGTGGGGGACCTGGGAGAACAAGCCCCTCCTCTGCCCACTCTGACCGCCTCTCTTCTGCCTGCTGCTCTGTGCCCTCTAGGTGTGGGTGGATGCTGGGACGCAGATTTTCTTCTCTTACGCCATCTGCCTGGGCTGCTTGACTGCCCTAGGTAGCTACAACAACTACAACAACAACTGCTACAGGTAAGTGCCCCAGCCTCCCACCTCCTGCCCTTCCCACTGCCCTGCCGCGTCCCCAGCACCCACCACCCTGCAGGCCCAGGGAGGCACAGGCAGTCCCGCTGGCCTCTCCTGGCCCTGAGTCAGAGGTGGGACTCGAGCCGGGGCAATAAGGACCAGCACCAGCTGCAGGCGCCTGGTACATCCGCCCCGGGGTATCGACCTCAGCCCCCTTGCATGGGTCACAGGAACCCTGGAGGGGGAAGGGCCATGCCAGGGCCACAAAGCTGATACATGGCACAGCCCCTGCCGGCCCGCCTCCTGCCGGCCCCGAGCGCTTGTTCTTCTGCCTCATGTCCTTCCCCCGCCCCGCCTGCAGGGTCCTCTTCCATCCTGCCAGGGACAGCCGCATCCTTCCCAGATGTTGGCCGAGGCGTGTCGTTCGCCCCTGTGTCTGGGGCAGTTGCTTCCTCCCTGCCATGCTTGGGATAGACACCGGCCTCTGCAGCTCTCTGCAGGTGGGGTTCTCTCCTGTCTTCTCATCAGCGGGAGGCAGCCCTGCCAAGTGACCTGGCAGCATCACAAGGCCGCAAGTGGTCTGTGTCTCAGCTGCTCTGCACCGGCTTTCCTGACGCAGAGCAGGGGATGCACACCCTCCTCCCGCAGGCTCAGCCTCCCGCCGACTTCAAAGCGCTTGTTACATAAGCCCGTGGGTGGGGAGGTGGCGGAGGGTGGGGGTGACCCAGCCGTAGGCTATGTGAGCTTGGGACCCGCTGGGATCCGACAAGCAGGAAGGGACTTCAGGTCCCTCCATCTCTCTGTCCCTCTGTCTGTCCCTCTGGGGTACGAGGAAGTCACTTGAGAGGCCGCTGTGGGAGGATGGTGCTTTTGTGATGAGACACATTCGTCTTTCACCTGTGTGATGCCCGCACGACTGTCCAAACGACTGTCCAAACGTCAGGCTTTGGGAGTCTTTGTTCCTAGAGGCTGTTTGCGTTCAGCTCCCAGACAGGGCATCAGGGACAGCGGAGTATGTGACCCCATCTCTGGACCTTGGGTCTGGTGGGTCTTCACACAGGGTGACACATAGCAGGTCCTTAAAGAGCAGGACAGGCAATTGCAAAACACAGTCCCTGCAGAGGACACTCTTCCTTCCCCTGGGAGCAGAGGGGGTTCAGGTTCACAGGTAACATCCCCAGGCCCACCAGCCCAGCCCATGACCACAGTGCCAGAAATGATCTTTAAAGGGACCATATCCGTCACCCGCTGCCCCAAGGATGCTGTGTAACAAACTGCCCCAGGCCTTGGGTTCTGACCACCCAGCATATTTGCTTTTATGGTTCCCAGGGCTGCTGACCGGCTGGGGATGCTGCCTTGCAGCTGGAGGCCGGGTGGGGTTGGTCCCAGGTCCAGCTCAGCCCCACTGTGTGTGCACACACGGGGTCTAGGCTGACGGATGGCAACCCTCGGGGGAGGTTGTTCTCATGGGAGATCACAGAAATGGCGTCACATCTGCTTAGTCTCCTTGTCCAGAGCAAGCTGTGTGGCTGAGCCCCAAGTCAGCGGGGCAGGAAAGAGGCTCCACCTGACTCCTCGCTAAGAGGTGGTTCCATCTGCACAAGGCCCCCAGGACCCTGTAGTCCAAACACCTGTTCTGCAGTGGGGGAGACCCGGCCCAGAGGACAGATGGGGCAGGGGGGATGGGAAAGCAAGGCTCCTGACTCCCATCCAGGGCTCCCTCCACTGTGCCCTCACTGCCAGCGTCACTGCAGGGTGGTAGGGTCACCCACACTAGCATAACCTTTGGCTGCATTACAAAACATGACGCAGGGGGAAAAGGCGGCGGTAGCTGTCTGGGTTTAAGTCTGCTCAGCCCTGGGCACTGGTGGAAGAGGGGCCGGGCAGGGGAGCAGGGAGGCAGACACGGTGCTGAGATCTCGAGGTGCTGCTTTTGGCAGCGTGGCTGGGCTGCTGTCCTCATAGTCTCAGCCCAGCTGCTGAAGCTCCAGGCACGACATGGCCATTCCCTTGGAGGTGCAGCCCTGTCCCACACCGAAGCTCACCCCTCTGTCCTACTGGCTCTGAGCCACCGGGAGTCTCACCTCCCCCTCCAGCTTTTCCCTCTTCCAGGGACCCAGAAGAGCATGGGCGACCCCCTCCCCAGTCCTTGCTAGATCTGCAGCCCTGCGTGTCAGCCGCCCAACCCCACACCCCTCAGTGTTTTGACCCATGACCACCTTATCTTCTAGAAGCCAGGAGAAGCTGTGTGACCCTCGACTGGGCACCCAGCCTCTCTGAACTACCAGAGCCTCACCTGTGCCTGCCCTCCCTGGGAAGGCCATGGCGCCCGGCAGAGGCTGTCCCGGCCTCTCGCTGTCTCCCGCGCCCTGAGCGAGCCCTGTCTGTTCCCGCAGGGACTGCATCATGCTCTGCTGCCTGAACAGCGGCACCAGCTTCGTGGCCGGCTTTGCCATCTTCTCGGTCTTGGGCTTCATGGCCTATGAGCAGGGCGTGCCCATTGCCGAGGTGGCTGAGTCTGGTGAGTGGCTGGAGCTGGGGATGTGGGAGGCTGGGAGACCTGGGGTCTGCGTGTCCTGGGTGCGGGTCTCAGGTCCCACTGTTTGTCCCCAGCTCAGGGCCCCAGGAGGGAGACAGAGCCCCTTCCTGCTGAGACCACAGCACCATCTCACTCTCTAGCTCTGCCATTTCCCAGCACACTGACCTGTGCCACGGGGTGCCCTTTGCTGGCCTCCCTGCCTCCCCTGCTGTCCCCTTCAGTCCATGTTGGCCATGCAGCATGGTGTTGTCATAGCACTGACATGAGCATGGCCCATCCGCCCCTCCCCTCATGCCACTCTGCATGCCGTGGGGTCTGTTTCCCCTTCCTCCCTCCACCCCAGGGCCTTTGCACATGCTGCTCCTTCTACTCTCTGAGTAGAGTCCCCATGGGTGGGTCCACATGCTTGTTCACATCCACCACAGGCAGGGTACCCATGTCTCCCCTGACTATGTTGTGCCTGCCAGTGTCCTGGAGAGAGACCATGCACATGAGTGAGGAAGTGGGAGAACAGTTGGTACCCACATGGCAGCAGGAGACTGCAGGCAGGCGAGCGCAATCGGCGTCCTGATGCCCAGTGGCATGGGACATCTGCCAAGAGCAGCCCCGGGTGCCTGGCACCTTGGCTCTGGTCTGCTCCTTCACCGGGCAGCACCTGTGCCTGCTCCACAGGAGGGATGAGGACACCGAGCTCTGCAGGGTGCAGCCAGGCGTCATGAATGTCAGAGGCTGAGATGGCCCTGCGTGGAGTGGGGCCCCAGCAGGCCCGTGGATGCTGAGACGGTGCCGCGCAGGAGCTGTTTCCCGTGTTCTCTCTCACGGGCCTCAACTCTGCCCTCAGAAGTGGCACTTTTCCCAGTGTGTGGTGGCGCACGCCTGTAATCCCAGCACTCAGCACTTGGGAGCCTGAGGCAGGAGGATCACCTCGAGTTCGCCAGCCTGGGCTACATAGTAAGACCCTGTCTCAAAAACAAAAGAGAAGTGACACTTTTACCACCCCCATTTCACAGATGAGAAAGCCAAGGCTGAGAGGACTTACAGCCTATGCACCCTTGGGTAAGTGACCTCAAGGCTGAGGTCACTTACCCAAGGGTGCATAGGCTGTAAGTGGCAGAGCTGGGACTTCAACCCGGCCATGTGGCTCTGGCTGGGGCACCAGGCACTTCTCACTGTACCCTGCCTCAAGGGCAGTGCTGTGGGGGACATGCTTTTCCCAGAGTTCCTTTCTCCTCTGTAAAGGCACTGCTGGTCCCGCCTCCTGGTGTTCAGGGGAGGAGATCCACACACCCTTGCCCCCTTTCTGTCCTTATTTCCACGGAAGAGGTGAATCCCACAGAGGAGCCTTGTTAACAAGAGATGGAACCCACGAAGAGTAAATCTTAGTGCGCTTTTGTTTCCTTATTTGAAACTGAAGGTGTATTCATCGTAGAAAAGTGCAGAGCTGCCGACAACCAAGGACAAAGTCCAGACAAACCCCAGGCAACACTTTGGGGTGGTCCTGCGAGGGCTCCTGTGCATGGTGCCTGGGGCATATGTGCCAGAGCTGTGTATTCCTGGTAGAGCAGGAGCAGCTTCCTGTCTTGGTCAGGTCAGATCCGCATGGCCTCCTGAGGACAGACACATGAGCGGATCTTCTTTATCTGCTCATCAGGCCCCAGGTCCAAGCTTCCATGTCCTGTACCACATGCAATGCTCCTGGCCTCTCTGTGAGGTCAGGTGTCAGGGCCTCTACCCCTGCCTGCACATGCAGCAGCCTGCGCTTCACACCCAGGCTCCACTCACACAGCAGCCCTGGGTTTTCCAGTGCCCATCACAGATGAGGACCCTGTAGCTCAGAGAGGTGAAGTCATTCACCCAAAGTCACACAGCCTGTAAGTGATACAGCCTGCATCTGGCTCTTTCTTCCTTGCCTGCCTGTGTGGCATCATCTCCCATGCCAAACAAGATCCTGGTCTGCGGCCCTGGTTGGTGGAGCAGGGCAAGACTCTCCTGAAGTTCTCATCATAGCTAAGGTTATTTTCAACTGTACATACGGCTGCCTCACCTTCCTCCGGGGAACCTGGCTCACTTTCTGAGGAAGGGGTTTTGGAACATACTGTAGTGAAATAGCCACCCGCAGCTCCACAGGCTGTCTTGGCAGCCCTGAGACTGAGCCCAGAGGAGAAGGCACCAGGTACAGACGGCATCCTGCTCCCAGCCCAGTGCTCAGAGTCCGCTGGGCTCCTTGAAGGTCCCAAGCCTGTCTCTCAGACGCTTTCTAGTCCTGTCTTGGGAGAAGGTGTTTACATGGGTTGAGGCTGAGGCTTGTGTTTATACCTGGTCTGATCATCTCTGCCTTCTAACTGGACATTTGGTCCATTTGCATTTTTAAATGATTGATATGACTCAGTCCTAAAGTCTGTGTCAAGGCAGAGAGTGTCAGAATGATAACCAGAAATGGGCAGTGTCAGGTGTGTAGCAGAAGGGCAAAGTGATGCATTATTACTCAAAGTAGATTTTGGTAAATTGCATATGTGTAGTGTTGGCCCAACTCCCTAAAAAATAATTAAAGAGATAGAGCTAAAAAGCCAATACATGAAATAAAGTTAAATATGGAAAAATATTGTTTAGTCCAAAAGAAGGCAATAAAAGTACAACAGAGTAAAGCAAAGCAAAATAAACAAAATGATGAGGCTAAAAAGAAACAAACACAAAACAGTAGACTTAAACTCAGCTATATCAATGATTATATTAAATGTAAATGGACCATATTTGTCAATTAAAAGGCAGAGATTATCAGACTGAATTAAAAACCAAGACCCAAGTATAAAATATCTAAAACAGGTGCAGTTTAAATTAAAGGTACAGATAGATAAAATGTAAAAAAAAAAAAAAAAAAAGAGGGAGGAAGGAAGGAAAACGACATGCATAAAAAATTGGCTTGGCTATATTAGTATGAGACAAAGTACACATCGAGTCAAAGAGAATTGCTTGAGATAAAGGGGACAATTTAAAGGCCGGGCATAGTGGCACACACCTGTAATTCTAGCACTTGAGAGGCTGAGGCAGGAGGATCTCTGTGAGTTCAAGGCCAGGCTGGGCTACATAGCAAGACCCTGTCTCAAACAAACAAACAAACAAACAAAAAGACCAAAGGACAATTCATTGAGGACATCTAACAGTCCCAGATGTCTTTGCAGTAGACAGCAGAGTTTTAAAATAAGTGTTCCTAAAACTGATTAAACTAAAGGGGAAAATAGACAAATCCACAATTATGGCTGGCAACTTTAACTCCTGTATTACTTATAGTAGAGCAACCACACAAAGTATCAGTAAAGACCCAAGATCCAAGCAACACTGTCAACCACATTACTTGACATTTGAAAACTGTGCAGAGTACATTTTATTCCAAATAGATGTGGAACATTCACCGAGGTAGAGCTAAAAAATGGGCTGTAAAATAAGTCTCAGCGTATTCAGAAGGTTGAAATCACACAGAGTATGTCCTGTTTCACCAGAGTGAAATTAGAAATCCATAAGAAAAGGATATCTAGGAAGCCCCCAAATATGTATTAGTTAAGGAACATGCTTCTAAATATCGTATAATTTAAAGAAGAAAATATTTTAAGCCGAATGGTGATGTAAACACATGTCAAAATTTGTGGACAATGACAGTTAAACTAGGGAGCTTATAGATACCCAAAAACATAAAAATGAACTTTGAGAGACGTCCAATCCATGCCGTTACTGCAAAAAGTCATACACAAGGCCCTCAGTTTCTTGCAGGTCAGGAAGGTGTACCTTGCCCGGCCATAGACAGCCAGTTGGAGCTTCTGGGCGGGCCTGGGAGTCTGTATTTTGAGGATCACCATTCCCGCTGCTAGAGCAGCAAGTGAGGCTGCCCAGGGGACGGTCCTTGTGCCACACTCACCCTGGGTTTGAATCCCAGCCCTTCCAGACCCTCATTTGCCCCCTTTGCCCCAGGCATGCTCATGGGCAATGTGGGCATCCTCACAGTGCCATTACAGGGATGCTGCAAGACCCATGTGATCTGAGCAGGTGTTAGGCACTGCCTGGCACCTGGCTCCAGGAGCACCTCCATGGGTAGTCCCCACCCGGACACCCAGACACGCTTTCTCCTCCTGTAGGGCCTGGCCTCGCCTTCATCGCTTACCCCAAGGCCGTCACGATGATGCCTCTGTCCCCGCTTTGGGCAACCCTGTTCTTCATGATGCTTATCTTCCTGGGCCTGGACAGCCAGGTAAGGAGGGCGAGAGCGTATGGGGAGCCAGCGCTGCTGACAGGAGAGCCCGGCTCAGGCGGGCTCTGCCCTGCTGTCTTCCAGCAGCCTCTCACCCGCCGAGCAGCTCCTCGGTCGCCATCTGTGGGCTGGGGGCCCTTTGTGTTTTCCCATTTTTCCTCACTGGGAATTCCAAGTTTCCTGTTTAAATTTGTTCTGTTATTTTTATTTCTTCAATGCTTCCATTCTGCCAAACAGTTCCTGCCCTGGCAAAGTGGGAGGACATCCTAGAGAGAGCCAGCTGCGGCTTTGGTACCCAGGGGCCATAGCACATGTGTCCCTGTCCCAAGCCCGACATTGAGGCCACCTCTTCTTCCTGCTTCTTTTGCTGTGCTGGAGTCCCCTCGGCCCCACCCGCCTACCTCTGCCTTCCCCATGTGGGGGAAGGGGGTCCCTAGCGCAGGTGCATGAGCTGAGCGTTGGCCGGTGTGTCTCCGCCCCTGTCTCCACCACACACCCTCCTGCCTGCCCTCCCCGGAGCTTCCCAGGCTGAGTTCCTGGGGCCATCATGCACCCAGCACCCTGGACCCCTGCCCTCTGCCTGTGCCCCGGAGAGCTCCCTCCATCCCTGCCGTGACCTGGCATCCAGGGGCTCTTGGTGAGCAGGCACACAGGTGAGAGGCCCCACTTCAACAAAATGGCAGCCGGTGCCTCCTGGTGACCTTGAGGAACTCACTCAGCACACAAGCCCCAAGGCTTGTGTGCCTGTCAGCCGCCCGTCCAAATCCTCCCCCTCCGCCCAGCCCCACGAGCCGCTAAGCCAAGCCGGGAAGTGCCGGGTGGTTCTGCTGATAATCTTGCTCCCATTGTTGCAGGCAGAGGCCTCGGGGATCAGGGATGACAGCTGGTGCGTGACAGGACGGGCTTGGTGGAGGAGGAGCAGGAGAAGGAGGAGGGAGGAGGAGCAGGGGCAGGAGGAGGAGGAAGAGGAGGAGGAGGCCGCGGCCGCCGCAGCCCAGTCTGGCTCCCTTGCTGAGTGTCCAGCCCGTGTGCCCAGCTCACCATCACATAGCCACATGGGCTGGGGCCCTTCCTGCTGCCCTTTGTGCAGAGGTGCCAGCTCAGAGAGGCTGAGCAGCTGCCCCATGCTGTCTCACTCGTACCCCATGGGCACCTCCCAGGTCCCACTCCCTGCCCTGGCATCCCAGAGAAGGAAGAGCAAGGCCAGCCTTGCCTTGTGGCAGAAGCCAGCCTGCCTGGGCTTTGCAGTCCCGGAGTTTGGTCCTGGAGCGTGGGTCCAGTGCCAGGGATCTTGCAGCTGTGTGAGTGCAGGGAGGTCGCCCCACCTCTGTGTGCTTCGTGGGCTCTGTCCACACAGGAAGGATACACATCCTTTTTCTGAGAAGATAAAAGTGAATCATCAAGGATTTAAGATCCAGAAGCTGCCCTGGGGAAGGGGAGTCCATCAACACAGTGGCCAGCGAGAAAGTCCTTGACTCCTGCCCCGCACGCCCTTGTGCCAGTGGGCACAGGGGGGCGGTGCCAGGTGGAGTCGCTAAGTCAATAAGCAGTGACGACACGTAGCAAGCACCGGCATTGCTGTTAGCAGGACAGTGGACCCCCGAAATTCATGACAGTGACATTCAGATACAGTCAGGAAAATGCCTATAAAGGTCTTTTTATAGTTTAAACCCTAAATGTGCTATGTCTCCTGCAATGATGTAGGTTAATTAAAAAACTGTATTAATAAAGCCTGAGAAGGTGCAGGGCATTTTGGTGACCTCTTAGGGATCCTAGGGCTTTAACAAGAACAAAGCTGAGAACACTGGAGACAGCTGCACGAGGCACGCAGCCTGTCGTGACAGCAGAAGGCTGGCTCATCTGGGAGATGGCTTACAGAGCCGCAGCCAGTCAGCAGCAAGAACTGTGTAACCCTGTCGGATTGGCCACTTGCAGACTTCCTACCAAAAAAACAATGGCAGAGGATACAGTATTTGCAATTTCCACAAAGAGTTAGGTTCTAAGGAAAAATCCACAAACGACCGAATCCTCTCCTGCTTGCTGGGTTGGGACATTTGGGCTGGGTGTTGATGGGTAGGTAGGAGTTAGGCTGAAACTGTGTGCCAGGCCCTGTGTTCCACACTGGGATTCAGATGCTCAGCAGTTCAAACTCAGCCATCAGCGCCTGCACCGTCTGGCCAGAGCCCAGGGCCCAACAGAGACGAGACTGAGTGTTGCCTTGCCGCTTACCGCCCTCACCTAGCAGCGGGTGCCTGCGTACTAGGAGCAGGGACAGGGAGTTGGCACAGTCCCAGAGTCTGCTGCCAGCAGAGCCCCGAGCCAGGGACCGGGACGCAAGCTCCTGCTTTGCCTCCCAGGTCTCATTCCAGTCCCTATCCTGCGCCAGGCCAGCAGCGGCCTCAGGCCACAGCGCAGGTCTAGGCTTTGCAGGCTGAGTGCCCCGGGCAGCCCGGCCCTGCCTGTTTATGGGCTCACTGTACAGCCAGTGCTGGTGTCACAGTCTTCCCTCTTGGGTCCCCATGTGGGGCACGGTGGGGGCCATCATGCACCCCACCTTCTTTCCTGCCGGGAAAGAAGCCGGGGCCCCGGCAGCCTCTTCCTGGGCCTCATGGCACGATGTCCCTTGCAGTTTGTGTGCGTGGAAAGCCTGGTGACGGCCGTGGTGGACATGTACCCTAAGGTTTTCCGGAGGGGCTACAGGAGAGAGCTGCTCATCCTGGCGCTGTCTGTGGTCTCCTACTTCCTGGGCCTTGTGATGCTGACGGAGGTGAGGACATGGGGTGGACGCAGGGGCCGGGGGGCCAGGCAGACCGCGACCCTAGCTCTGGGACTGCATGTCCTGCTGGTGTGAGTCCTCGCCAAGCCTGGGCACTGGCAAGGGCAGAGACACACAGGATGATCCTAGGCACATACGTGACCTCCTCGGTCATCCCAAGCAGTGAGCCCTGGGCGAAGGGGACAGCATCAGCTCCTAAACTGCCTGCCTGTCCAGGTCTCAGGTTCAAAGTGGGCCTCTCTGGGAGCGGGCTCTTCCTGTGAGGTGTGCTCTGACCGCCTCCTGTGCCTCGCCCTGCTGGGCCTGCAGTGTATGAAGGACCCCATGAACCCCGAACTGAGCTTCGCAAACCGCGTTTCCCCTCTCTGCAGCTGTCGGGGGGGATGAGGGTGGTATCTTTCTCCCATACGCACAAGGATAATTAAGAAAATGCTGCTTCCAGGAAACAGGCAGAGGTTTCGTGAGAACCACTGGGGGGAGCGGGGAGGTGGTGGTGCTCTGAATCCATCAGAGCAGCCTCACGAAACTGGGCCAGCCTGGGGAGCACTGGGCCGGTGGCTCCTTGTTGAACCTACTAGTCCTTTTCCTGCACGGCCTCCGCCAGGAAGCCGCCTGCCTGCCTGCCTTGCCGGGCCCAGCCTCTGGCTCTGTGTTCCTAGGCCAGTCACCCTCCCTGTCCCTGTCCCAGTGGTCAGCGGTCCCTGTTCACTTGTCTCCCCTCAGGCCGCAGCCATCAGAGCCGGAGCAGGACTTGCCCGGGTGCTCAGTGTGGCTGCTGCTGGCTGCCTGGGCTCCGGGGCCTTGTCCCTTCCTTAGTGGGTGTTAGAGGGACGGGAGCGGCCGCCCTCCCCGCTCCTCCTCCCCGCAGTGAGCAGGGCCTCATTAAGCTCTGGTTAGTCATGCAGAGGCAAGTCTTTTGTTGCATACAAATTGGGAGGCTGACCCGATGCCTTAAAGAGGCTGACAGGGCCAGGCCAGGGTCACAGGAATGTGGCGTCCAGCCCACCTGGGGCATAGCCTGTGTGGCCCCTTTGCCCAGGCCTGGATCCGCCCCACGGTGCTTGGTGACCCAGGGCCTTCAGGGCACCAGTATGAGCAGCCAAAACAGGGCGATGGGCTCCTCCTCAGTGGTGGAGACACTGGGTGGGACATCAAGGGAGCACAAATTACCAAGCTGTGGCATTACGGATCTCCTCCCTCATTCAGAGCTCAGCAGCAGGGCAGGCACAGGCCACAACTCCTGGCCTCTCCTGGGCGGGGTGCTGGGTGGCTGAGACCTGCGCTCCACAGCCAGGCTGTGTATCAGGCTCTGTGCTTGGCTCCTCACCCACCAGCAGAAGGCCGGCAGCAGGCGCTCTCTTCGCTCTGTGCCTCGGCTTCCGTAGTAGCATAGCGCCTGCCTTGGGGTCACATTGGAAAAGACCAAGAAGTCAGCCAAGACGCAGGGGGTGGTTGAAACAGCAGGTCAGCGACGGACGGATGTGTCCCGAGGACTCCCTGCTTAGGCAGTTTCACTGTGTGGCTGCTGCGGAACAAGCTACCACCCTGGGCGTCGCGGTCTCAGGAGACCTGTGTCCTTTGTGTGACACCACAGTGCCACTGGACTGTGCTTGGTGCTGCCCGTGGCCCCCACTCTGCATTTAGTGGAAGGAAGCGAGTCGGAGGGTTTCTGGGGTCTGCTCAGAGCCAGCCCTGCTGCTGGGCCCATGGTGCTCAGGCTGCCCTGATGCCCTGGACCTGACGGCCACTGCCGCATCTGCCTCGTTCCGCCCTCACTTTTGTGTAAAACACACTGAAGTCACCCAGCATTAAAAGAGAGAAAACTTTCCCACGGAAACCTGCATTTCTGTGTCTTCCAGAAAACCTGCAGTGGTGGCTGCCCTGCTGTGGCCCAGAGCACCCTGGCCACGTGGCCACCTGTGCTGTTCCATGGGCCCCAGTCCCCACCACTGCCTGCTGTCACACCCGGCCCACGTTTCTCATTCATAGCAAAGGTGCGGTCCTGCTGGTACTGGCACATTGCTCCACGTGGTTGAAGAGGGGTACGAGGCCTGTGCAGGAGACAGCAGCAAGCACAGGAGCGGCTCTGGTAGGGAAGACCTTGTGGGGTGCACAGGATCGGCTCCTTCGCCCTCTCTTCCCCCTGTACCAGTGTGCCGAGGTGATGACCCTGGCTGAGTGACAAAGATTCCGGACAGATGCAACCCGTCCCCTCACTGCAGCACCTCCCACCTCCTGGACCCCAGCTGGCTAATCTCAGGCCCACGAGGACCTCCACAGAGCTTGGTGACCATGGAGTCCCTCAGTATCCATGGGGGATGGGTCCAGGACCCAAATCCACAGAGGCAGAATGCGGCGGAGCCCACACAGCCCTGCTGGGCACAGCATCTCTTGGTGGCTTTCCATACCTACTACAGCGTCCACACCCTGGGTACACAATTGTCTGGTGTCTGGGGACTGTGACAAGGACAGCATTTGGACAAGTGCAGTACAGAAGCTTTTTTCCCACATATGTTTGATCAAGGGGGATCAAATCCAGGGATCAGAGCCTGCAGATGTGAGGCCAACCGTCTACCACACAGCCCGCCCAGCCGTTCCTCCAGCCCCCAAGTCCGGCTGTGCACCTGCTGTGTGCCAGTGCTTGGCCCAGCCAGTCGGGGTCCCTGCCCACACATGGGCCACACTCCACATGACTCAGGGACCTACTGCATGCCAGGTGTCCCAGAGGACCCGTGTGAGGCCTTCTCGGCTGGAGAGCCTGGCTGTGACTGACTTTCAGTGTGCTTTTGGTTCTGGGGGAGCTCAGGAGGCTGACAGGACGTGCCGTTACCTTCCTGAAGTCCCTGGAGGACAGGTCCAGGGGTGTCCAGGCACGGAGGCTGCAGTATTCAGAGGAGGGACAGGCAGACCCCTGGCTAGTGGCAGCCCCAGAGTGCAGCAGGTGCTGTCGCCAGCCAGCTGTCCACATGTGTGTCCCCTTTCCGCAGGGGGGCATGTACATCTTCCAGCTCTTTGACTCCTACGCCGCCAGCGGGATGTGCCTGCTCTTCGTGGCCATCTTTGAGTGTGTGTGCATCGGCTGGGTGTACGGTGAGTGGTCCACCGCGGGGATCAGGTTCAGGGCCAAGCATTGTGACCTCAGACTAGATCTGTATCTTGTGCCTCAATCTCTGCTCTGTGAGATGGAGCTGGTGGAGCACATTTCTAGGTAGGACAAAGTGTAGACAAGGCGTCCCTCAGTTAGCACCACCTTCTAGTCCTCTTGTTCCTCACACTGGCCCACACCGAGGGTGCCAGGCTTGGGGGTGGCGGAGTGGCTGCTCTGGTCCTTCCGGCCCTGCCCAGCCAGGCTGCCACCTGAGTGGGTCATCCAGCCCCTCTCCGGGCCTCACTGCTCCAGAAGGACCCCTCTACCTTCCTGTACAACCCTTGTGCTCTAAGCCACCTCAGGTCAGCCAGCTGCACCCCGTCATGAAACACAGGCTCCCAAGGAGGACAAGAAGACTTAACTGAGCTCAGCCTCTGCAGGTTCCAGCCTGGGCTTTAGCTGAGGGCAAGAAGCTCATGGCAAGAGCATGGTCTGTGAAGCCGTGGCTTCTCAAACCAGAGCAGAGAAAGATAGGTCAGACAGGGTCCCGAAATCCCTCCTGGGGGCACAGTCCCGATGACCTCAGGCCGTCCCATCAGGTGCCACCTCCTAAAGCACCATCTCTGAAGAGTGCTACTTTGGGGACCAGGCCTTTGCACGAGGGCCTTGGAGACATTTATCACCCAAGCCATAGCCCTGTATCACCTCATGGTAGTGGTACGTGGTAAATGAGGGCACTGAGTCTCATGCCCATTTGTTCTGCTCTGCAAGGAAGCAACCGGTTCTACGACAACATTGAAGACATGATAGGCTACCGGCCACTGTCCCTCATTAAGTGGTGCTGGAAGGTGGTGACCCCTGGGATCTGTGCGGTAAGGACCAGCTCGGTGCTGCCCTCAGTGCCCCACCTGCCTCCTTCCCCTCCATGTCCTTGCTCAGCCTCACTGGCCCTGAGAGGGCTTGTGTCCCCGGGTCCCGGCCTTGTGACACCTCGTGAAGCTGAGGTCACAGAGACAGTTTCCAAGCCTGGCAGGGCCCTCACCAGATCCCAGCTCTGCCACCAGCTTGCTGGGTGGCCTGAGCAAGCATCCCCCTGCCTTGGGCCTGGGTTGTGCCTCACTGGCACCAAGGCCATGTGGACACTAAGATTTTGCTTTGCTGTTAATTATGGTGGTGACAGAGCTGATGGAATGTCAGGCTCACACTCTTCCCCAAGGCCAGACCACAAGGGGTCTTGTTGGGAGACAGGTCACAATAAATATGTGCAACCTTGTCACCCATTGCCTGCTTCCCGGCCCTGGAAATGTCTCAGAGCATCTCAGTCTGCAGAGGTTGGAAAAGCAGTTTCAAACCAGCCTTTGAGGAAGTGACAGGGACAAAACAAGAGTCCCTGGCTGGGCAGAGCAGTGGGAGGTCTCAGGACTCCAGGAGATGGAGACCGGGTTGCATCCCTATGTGTCTGACACTCCAGGAGGTTCTGGCCCACGTTGCTGTGGACAGGTGGGTGGTAGCGGCTGCAGGGACTTCTCTGTCTCTCTGTAGGGTATCTTCATCTTCTTCCTTGTCAAGTACAAGCCGCTCAAGTACAACAACGTCTACACGTACCCTGCCTGGGGCTACGGCATCGGCTGGCTCATGGCGCTGTCCTCCATGCTCTGCATCCCACTCTGGGTCTGCATCCAGCTATGGCGGATGGAGGGCACGCTGCCTGAGGTGAGGGAGGCTGGGTGTTGGAGGACAGACTGCCCAAGGTGAGGGAGGGGAAGACAGAAGGCATGCTGCCCAGGTTGGGAGGGAGCAGGCAGGGATGGAGAGCATGCACGGGTCCAGGCACCTCACTAGTCTCAGTTTCTTCCTGTGGACAATGGGCATGATGCAGATATGCCAACCTGTATCTTATCTTAGGGAAGCCATGGGTCAGCTCCTGTCTTGCAGGCATCCATCAGGCCTCAGGGGTATGCTGCTGACTTTCCTGTCACTGGACACAATGCCCAGCACCTGCAAACTTAAAGGAGGAGAGGGTTATTTTTGCTCACAATTTCCTGTAGTCCATAGTTGGCTACTTCCAAGGCAGAAATGGCATGGTGGAAGGCCCTGGCAGAGGCAAGTTGCTCACCTCCTGGCAGCCAGGAAGCAGAGAAAGAAGGGAGGAGCTGGGGAGAAGAATATGCCCTTCAGGCCATGCCCCCGGGGACCCATGCCAACCAGGCCCCGAATTCAGTCATGAACCCATCAATGAACGAATTCACTGATGAGTATAGCACCTCATGTTCCAATTATCATTCAAACATGTGAGACTTTGGGGGAACATTATAAATTTAAACCATTGCATTCTTCCCCTGACCTCAAAAAGGTTCATATCTATCTCACTGTGCAAAATACATTTAGCCCATCTCTAAGAATTGCCAAAACCTTAACGCTTCCAGCATGCTGAAAAAAGTCCAATTCCAAAGTCTCCTCTGAGCCTCAAGCCAAGCTCTTAGGTACGAATCCCTGTGAAAATCGAAAAGGAAGTTAAATACTTCCAACATACAATTACCAAGGGTAATGATTCCCATCCCAAAAGAGAGGAATAGGGGAATAGAACGAAATTGCACCAAAGCAAGACTGAATCCCAGCATAGCCAACATTAAACCCTATAGCTGCATGTCCCTGCATCTGGGACAGGTTGTGGTGAGATAGGAGCCCCAAACGATGACCCTTCCTGCAGTCTTCTTCAGCAGACACTCCACATTCCTGGCATCTTTAACTTCTTGGGCTCTCCACTGCACGTTTAGCTTCACTCTCACATTTTCATGCACTGCCCTCTTAGGGGTACATTGGTCGGCCTCCCAGGACTTCCTCTGAAACCTGGATGGAAGCCACCATGACCCCATAACTCTTGCATTCTGTATGCCTGTAAAACCAGCACCACATAGATGATGCCAAGGTCTGTTGCCAGCTTGAGCAGTAGCCAAGTCTCCTTGCATTGTGGCCACAGAGGTCTCCTGGTACTGAGAACTGTGAAATGAATCCAAAGGAACCAGTTCCCCAGGCAGCCCTTCTCAAGCAGGGAACCTGGGGACTCTCTTCTCAAATGAAAACTTTATAATTCTGTACTCTTGAGCCTGTGAAGGGTGGGACTTTGTTGATTCCTGAGATGCCTCCAAGCCATCTTTCCTATCATCCTGATGCAGAGTACTTCTTTCTAATGCTAATCTTTTCAGCAACATGCTTTCTAAAAGTCCAACTTTGTAGGTACTTCCTTTCTGATGAAACTGTAGACTTTTAACATCTGGTTTTTGTTCCTGGTTCTCACTGTAGATCTGGTTAAAAGCAATTAGCAGTACTTGTGCCACTGCCTGAATGTTGGGCTATCTTGAAATTTTCTCTGCCAAACTATTCTACTGTCCTTAACCTTAGTCTACAACAAGGTCCCCAAACATAAATAAAATGTGGACACATTTTCTGCCAGAGAATAACACATATGGCCTCTAGTCTAACTATCAATATAGTCCTTGTTCCCAAATGAAACCTCCTGAGCCTGGCCTTTACTGTTTGCATGCCTGTCACCATCTGGTTTTCTGAACTCTGACTGAAATCTCTCATAAATTTCTGCTTACTCTGATTGCACAGCGCTCTAAGACTTCTCTAGCTGACATCTCCAAATCTTTTCAAACTCTTGGTTACATACAGTCAGTTCAGACTGTATGTAACCACATGGTTACATACAGTCATAGCAGTGACCCCACTCCTGGTACTAATTTCTGTATTAGTCACTTTCCCATCATTGGAACATAACACCCAACACTCACAACTTAAAGGAGAGAGTTACTTGGCTCACAACTTGCAGTGGATTCATTGGCTGGCTGGCTTCAAGACAGAAATGCATGGTAGAAGGCCATGGGGGAGGAAAGCTGTTCATCCAAAGCCAAGAGAAAAGGGAGGAACTGGGGACAGGAATATACCCTTCTAGGTCACACCCCAGTGACCTACCAGCAACCAGGTCCCACTCCTAATAGAATATTCAGCTACTGAATTCATCAGTGAATCCACTGGTGAGCATAGCAGCCCCTATGATCCAGTCATCTTCCAAAAGCTCCAACTCTGAGCACAAGAGCCTTTGGGAGGCATTTTTGATCCAAACCATAATACTTGGCTGGCACGGCTAGTCAATATCCCAGCAGCAATCCAAGCTCCAGCTTCTTAGCCCCTGCCAGAGGGTGGGGACCAGGCAGTGGGCCTTGATTCTAGTTATCAGATTCTAATCACCTCCTTGAGGCCACCCAGGAAGCTATGTACTTCTACATACCCTCATCTCCTTTCTACTCACTAGCACCAGGAGCAGGGACTTCTGTTGTCCCCATTCTCCAGGGCAGGAAACTGAGCCCCAAGGAGGCCAGTGCATCATCCAGGACAGAACACTATGACAGAGCCAGGGTCTGGGCCTCAGGCTGATGGATCCACAGCATCGAGGCACCCACCTGTGTGCTGGCAAGGCCAAGGCTGACTCCTAGGCCCTGGCAGCTGCCTGAGACAGCTCTTCTCCTCTCCAACATCTAGAAATTCCGGAAGTTGACAGTTCCCAGTGCAGATCTGAAAATGCGGGGCAAGCTTGGGGCAGGCCCACGGACGGTGACAGTTAATGACTGTGATGCCAAGCTCAAGGGTGACGGCAGCATCGCGGCCATCACAGAGAAGGAGACGCACTTCTGAGCCTGCCCGTCTGCCCACCACCTCGATTCTCCTCCTCCCCTTCCCACGTGTAAATGACCCTGAGCTTCTCCTAGTGGTAGGGGCTTTGCTTCTGTACACAGGATTTATTAACATGTTAATCTCCACGGGCCACTGTACACTCAGCTGACAGCCCCCGCCCCCACCTCGCTCGGTGACCACGGAAGTATCCGCCACCACGAGATAATACTGTACAGTGACTAGCACCTCTCACATCCCACTGTGGTTTTAATCAGTGTGTCCTAGGGGTCAGTGTGCCATATTGTAAAACTTTTATACTGGGGCTATGGGCAGGTGGGGGGGGATGACAAACACTGTTCTCTGTCGGCCTCTTTACCCACCATTCCTGTCCCATATTTGTCCCTGACTCTGTGGGCAGCTGTTGCCTCCAGGTCCCCAGCTTCTCTCTTGACCCTGCCCTTTTTTGGAGGTGGGGTTTACAGGCTGAAGGTTACATGGCAGAGCAGAGAAAGTCCCGCAGACTGGGGACTCCTGGGTCACAGGCCCCCTGCCTGCACTAAGTGATCTTGGCCACTCCCTTCTCCTCCCTAGGCCTCAATTTCCCTGTCTCCCAAATTGGGGGATTCTCTGTTTTCCTCCCTCCCCTGAAGCACTGCTGTTGACCTTGACTCCTTCTGAAGTCACACAGGCCATCGCCTCCCCGGCCCCAGTCCCCACCCTGGAAACCTGATTTCTTCTGCAATGATGTGGTGATATGTGTGCTAACCCTGGCTCTATCCTTTTCCTGGCGTAGACCTTCCTGCAGCCTCCCACAGTGAATGCTACTGGGAGGCCACAGGCCCCTTCTCCATCCCCAGCCACCTTTTCTGCCTGCTGTCCCCTGCCTATCCCCATCCCGTCTTGTTTGTCCTGGTGGATCCTGTGTGCAGACTGCTTTCCTCCCCTCCCCTCTTCTCTGCACCAGCTGCCAGAAGCCTCAGCTCCAGTCTGTTCAAACCACCTGGGGGTGATCTGAGCAGCCCCTGGCTCTTGGGATGAGGGGCGCAGGCCTCAGGCCATGAGAAGGCAGGGCTGGCCTCAGGCCTCAAGAGCGGATTCCTTTCCCTGATTAACTGCACTTCGTATCAAACTTCTGTGTTGCCTTCTGAACCACGGGCATGAGGAAGGCTCATTCTTTTTCCTTCCTGCACAGGTCCCAATTCCGTTTGATGTAAATGTGAGCTTTTTCCAAAGGAGTCCCGTGTGTTCCATTGACCCCAAGGTTTCCAAACGCCTCTGTTCTCTGCTACACCCAGCCCCCATCTAAAGCCCGAGTTTGCTCACAGGGAGGCCCTGCACCCCAGGGCAGATGGGGGCACCTTGTTCTGGGGCCCCTGTTGCGCCTGTCTGCTCATGGACAGGCCAGCGCCCCCTGAGCCATCCAGCCTGGGGGACCTGGGAGCGACCCCCTATACTTGTTGGTCCTCAGCCACACTCCCCCCAGCAGGCTCCGGGGAGGGAGATCTTCTGCTGCTACAGTCCCACCACCAGCTCCCATGCGTGTGGGCAGACGGACAGATGGACTGGTCCCCTGAGGTCTGCCGCTGGGACGCACGCATCAGACACGTGGCTCCTAACACTTGACACTCTTAACCCTACTCATGGGCGGGGCGGAGGGGGTTGGGTTTTCTGTGTTTTATAATTTCCTACTAGGACCTGGGTAACTTTATGGGTGGGGAGGGCGATGTGGGGCGGGGGCCGTGTCATCGTGATCACTTTTTTGATATTTGTTAGGAATGATACATCCTTTCTGAGATATTTACGGTATTATTAAAAAATGAAACCGGTTGTCTTGTTTTGCATCATGAACGTTCTTACTGGAGACCTTGGGGCACACAATGTTCTGTGTACTTGTTTTTAAAAAACAAGAGGAGTGGACAAATGCATCACGTGGCTGCTCCCAGCCGGGCGGTAGTGCTGCCTTTCCCTTCAGTTTCTTCATTGTCTGCAAAACCGTTCTGGCTCCACACTGAGATTAGGAGCAAAGGGAAGCAGCATGTTCCAGAAGGCCCGTCTACCTTTCTCCCGTGTTCACTGTTCACACCGTTCACAGTGGGTACTTCCATGTTAATTTATGACTTTGCCCATTTCACAGGTAGGGGACGTGGAGGCACAGAAAAGCTAAGCAGTTTACCACAGTCACACAGCTCAGCAGCAGCAAAAAGAGAACTCAGATCTGCCTGGCTGCATATCTTAGTCACAGCGCTTTAACCTTTCCCGTGCCTAAGGCTCAAAGAAAATAGTAGCTACCTCCCAGCAGCAAAAGGTAGCAGCCACCAATCTCACATTCCTGTCCATGTACAGACCTGGTATCTGAAGAGCAAGGAGAGCCCAAAGAGAAAAGAGGGTCTGTAGCCTGGTTTCAACTTGGATGCAGGGTGGCTGTGAAGGTCCTGGGAGCTGTGGCTGCTGAAGCCTAGGTCACACTGGTGATTATTAGCCTGTAAAGATTATTAGCCTGTAAAGCTTCAGAACATAGACAGAATTTCTCAGTTTGTACCTTTGTACCGAAGGTTTCAAGCCCCTCGAAGTCACAGAGCTAATGTCCTGCCAGCCCATGGGGCAGGCTGGTCCACTCCTCTCTTAAAATCTCCCTTCTCATAGTCCAGAGAACCTGCCCTGGCTTCTCTCCCTCCCTGAGGAGGTGATATCTGCACACAGGAAAAGTGTCCCACAAATGCCATCCACCTAAGGGCCCTGAGGACCTCATCATTCCTTAGAGCCACAGGGATTGATTGGTGCAGCCCCACCTCCCAGGCCCTCCGCGACTGAATATGCATCACATTAGGTGAGTGCCAGCAGCAAGACAAGAAGCACCAAAGTCACAGGAGTGTGGGTCTCCCTTTTCCCCAAGTGTCCCTGCTTTCTCATCATGAGACACAATACCTTACACCCTAGTAGGAAACTACACAATCCTAGTAGGAGGAAGGATTTGTTTTGGCTCCGTTGGTAAGAGGTTTCAGTCCATAGTTCATTGGCTCCAAGTAAAGGCAGCATGGCAGAGGAGAAAGGGCTCATGGCATGGCAGACAGCAATCAAGGGAGAAGGAGAGAGAGAGACCCTTCCAGGGCATCCCCTCAGTGACCCTCCTGCTCCAATCAAGCTTGACCTCCCAACGTCATATTTAGCTATAAACTCATCAGTGGACCTATCCACTAAAACATATCACACTCCTATGATCCAGTCACCTCCAAAAAGCCCCACGCATGAGTACATGATGCTCTTGGTTGTGGAGGGCCACCTAGATACAAACCATGGCATTCTGGCCTGGCCTCAACAGACTCACGTTCATCCCTTTATGCAAAAAGGTATTTAGTCCACCTCTAAGAGTTTTCAGGGCCTTAACAGTTTCAGCATTGCTGAAAAGTCCAAGTCTAGAATCTCCTCTGAGATTTAGGGCAAACTCTTAGCTGTGAACCCCTATAAAAATCAAAAGAAAGTTAAACTCTTCCAACGTACAATGGCACAGGACAAACATTCCCATTCTAAAAGGAAGAAATAGGGAGATGTAAAGGAATGGGACCAAAACAAGACCAAAATCCAGCAGGGTAAACGTTGAAATCCTGTGGTTCCATGCCCAGTACTCTAGGAAAGACCTGGTAAGATGTGAACTCCAGAAGACTTGGGCAGCTCCACCCCTATGGTTATAGCCCTCATGGCCTCTCTCTTGGGCTGGCTTTGCTCTCTCCTTGCAGTTTTCCTCAGATGTCCCACATTCTTGGCTTTTCCAATATTCTGGGATCTCCACTGCACCTTCGCCTTCACTTTTACACTCATAGCTTTATAGATTGCCATCTCAGAGGCACACTGCCTGGCCTCCCAGGCCTTCTAAAGTCTGGGAGGAAGCCTCTCTGGCCCCATAGCTCTTGCAGCCTGCATGCACCTAAAACCAGCGCTGCATGGATGACACAAAGGTCTGCCAGCAGCTGAAGCAAATAGCTGAGCCCTTTTGCATCTTGCTGCTTGTTGCAGAGGCCTCCAAGTGGCTGGATAGCTGAGCATGATGAACTGGATCCTGGGGAATCAATTCCCTAGGTGGCCTTTCTCCAACAGTGTCTGGGACCCTCTTCTCAAAGAAAGGTCTTTAATGTTTGCAATTCTGAGCCTTTGAAGGGTGAGGTATTGCTGGTTCTGGTGATACCCTCAGGCTATCATTTCTATTGTCCCATTCCAAAGTTCTTTTTAATGCTAATCTTTTTAAGCGATCAACAAGTTCTCCTCTGCGCCATCTTTGCAAGCTCCAACTTTACCACAGCCTCCCTTCTGGCCAGTCTCAAAACTTTTTAAATCATTCAGCTGTGCCTTTTGCTCTTGATACATGAGGTAGAACTGACTAAAATCCCTCAACAGTAGCCATGCCACAGCCTCAATATTAGATTGCCTTGAAATTTCTTCTGCCAGATTAATTAGTTTGGTCCTCTTAATTTCATTCTCCCTCAAAGTCTCAGGACATGAGCAAATATAGACAAGGTTTTTTTTTGTTTGTTTGTTTATTTTGCCAGAGCATAACACATATGGCCTGGCATCCAAATGTCAGTGGTGCCCTTGTTCCCAACTGAAACAACTCCTGAGCCTGTTCTTTTCTGACTGCATTACTGACAGGATTTTGGTCTTCTGAACTTTGACCAGAATCTTCCATCAAGCTCAGCTCAGAGCATTCTAGGGCTGCTGCTCCAGCTGGCATTTCCAAACCTTTCCAAACTCCTCCCTCAAACGATTTCCAAATGCTTTTGAGCCACATGGTCAGGTATTGCCTCACAGCAATGACCCCACTCCTGGTACTAAAATCTGTCTTCGTTACTTATCACTCAGACACAATACCGGAGACCTACAACTCTAACGAGGAAAGATTTATTTTGACTCACAGTTCCTGGAGCTTTCAGCCCATAGTCATCTGGCCCCAAAGCAGAAGAAGTTTGCTTGTAGGATGGCAGACAGGAAGCAGAGAGAGAGAGAGAGAGAGAGAGAGAGAGAGAGAGAGAGAAAATCGATGAAGGAGAGAGACAGAAATAGACCCTCCCAGGCCACACCCCCAGTGATCTACCTCCTTCTACCAGGCCTCATCTCCCAACGTCATCTTTAGCGATAAATGTATCAGTGGACTAATCCACTGGTGATTATCACACCCCCATGATCCAATTACCTCCCAAAAGCTCCACCTATGAGTGCATGAGGCTTGGGGAGGACATGGAGATATAAACCATAACACCAGGAAATGTGATCTGCACACCTTTGAACTTACAGGATTGATAACAAGAGAAACTAATTTACCTGGTAAAGCAATTGGCTGCAGTATGTAACAACCCCTCTTGGCCAAGTGTAGCTCTACATCCTAGCTCTATTAGACATGGCAACTAAACGGGAGGAGAAAAGCTTTAGAAGTGTGGTTCAGGTCTTCCTGTTTTGGTATTAAGAGCCTTTCCTGTAGGGTAGTGGAGAGGAGCAAGCACCAGAAAGCAGGCATGTTGTGCTGAGAGATACACATGCTGGAACATTGGGTCCTTTCATGTGCTCAGCTGGGCTTTCCTTCATGCCAGAGTCTCCATGCCCTAGCCCTGGGACTAGGATATGGAGGCAGTGGGGCATCCCTTCCCTCAGCCATTCCTGCCCTTCTTTGTCAGAGGGGCATCCACACCCTCTGGATGGGATGAGTGGTGGGGAGGAGCCTCTGTTCCTTCCTCTTCCCAGCCTCCTTGGCAGCCTTGGGCTTCAGCTTAATCACAGGTGGAACAGTGAGGAAAAAAGACCCCAGGAGGGCAGACAGCTGACCTAGTATTTCCCCAGGACTCTAGCGCCACTTCACAGTCCCTGAACCATCTCAGTCTGTTAAAACACAAGTGCTCTCTATGCTGGGTGTGGTGGCACATGCCTGTAATCCCAGAACTCAAGGGGCTGAAGCAGGAGGATTGCTGGCAACTTGAAGCCAGCCTCCTGGGCTGCACAGTGAGTTCAAGACCAGCCTGGACTACATAGACAGCCCCTGTCTCAAAGCGACCAACCAAAAAATGCAAGTACTTTCTCAGCTCAGCACCCATGACCCAGCAGGGAGAAAGTCTTTGTTGACAAACTGGCAACTTCTCCATCCACATTTTTTTTTTTTTTTTTCGTACTGGAGATTGAACTGGAGACCTTCCCACTAATGCATATCTTAAGCCATTTAAAAACATTTTTTTTTGATAGGTTCTCACTAAGTTGCCCAGTCTGGGCTCAAACTTGGCAATCCTCCTGCTTCAGCCTCCCAGCGTGCTGGGATTACAGGTGAGCACCACCCCACCTGGCTCACCCCTCACTTTGATCAAGCCCTACTTTGTAGAGAGCTTAGAGGAACAACATGCCCAACTTCCAGAGCTTCCTGCCAGCCTGGGATCCAGAGTCACCATAAGGAGCCCCAGGGCCATGGGCTGGGGTGGAGGCACCTCTTGTGCTCAGAGTCACCTGCGCTACCTCCTTGGAGCCTCACAGCCAGCCTAAGAGGTCAGAGTTTGAAGAACCAGGTCAGGGGAGGAGGTCGACCTTGTAAACTGGAAACGAAAGCCGCCTTCCTGCCTTGCCATCACTAACACTGTTCCTCTTCTCACGTGCCCACAGGGTGAGGCTCGCTGGAGTCCTCATGGGCACCATGCCCATTGGTGATGCTTCACCTGCTGTCTGGGCCACCTCTGGGGCCATGGGAGACCACCCAAGCCACAGAGAGGCAACAGTGGTGGGCGGTAGGATAGGGAGGCCCAGGAAATTCCTTTGGGAACATGGACCACCTCTCCAAACCCTGTCATTTCCCATCAGTGGCC